CGAAGTCTCCTCGTAAGGAATCCACCGCAATTTTACGAGTCGGTATACATTATACCCTGCTTATCGCACTAGCCTTGTTTACCCCTGGTAAACAATTCGCGTATACCGTGGCAATAAATTGGCATCGATTTTTTTTTACAGATTTTATCTCTTTTTTTCCTCATAAAAAAATCGGCCGCAAAATCGACCAATCAGCACGGGCGTTGCCTGTACCCGACATGGAATAACATTCGATTTACAGCATTACGTGCATAATTTGGGAATGCGTGACCGCGCGAAAGGTTAAACCGTGGCGTGAATTTCCATCGGCGATAAATCGCCGATATTAAGTCCGCCTTTAACTAATGGCCGAGCTTTACGAGGCAAGGAGTTCGGTACCGGAAGCCAGTGCGGAGCATCGCGATGAAATATCGTAATGGGGAACCGCAGTAACCGGAACCACTAAAGGTGGCGGCGCCGATGCTTCCGACTCTCTGAGATTCCTACGTGGACCAGCCTGTATGTATGTATACACGACGTAACGCTATACCCTAATCAAAAGTTTCTCATACGTATGTCTGATAAATATCAAACGGCGCATTGTCCAAAGTTTTAATGGCGTCGCGGCTTTACGATGCCTCGCGAATAATTCAGCCGTCGACTGGCCGGCATGTAAATCTTACGAAAGGCGGCCATCTTGCCCGTGCCCAGAGATGCAATTACGATAAAGTCGACGACGCCTTTTCTTTCCCGGTACTTTCGTACCTCTGGCCATGGCGAATCTGCGAAAGTCGTATGCAGTTAAAGTGCACGTGTTTTAAGTCCCGGTTAAAAGCGGGACACGTGCACGTTATTATCCGGCCGAAACGTGGTTATCGGTCGTACGCTTGGAATATTGTCCTACGATTCGCTGTGACTCGACGCTATTTTATTGAAATTTAATTTTAAAACTTTTTACCGTACACGCATCTGGCGAATCGCCAATTTCGTTCGACGACGGAGTGCTTTGGGATTTTTCCTATTTCGTGTACCTTGCGTGAGCGCGAGAGAGACGGGCTTATGGGTTGTTACGTGGGTTAGAGAAGGACGGGCGATGTATACGTCTCCCAAGTCTTACCTTTTTCCTAATATCCTTTGGAGAATCGAATGCACCGTCTATACTCGATTCTACGTAACTTTTGAATTATTCGGTAAAATTTCGCATGCATTGTATTTGCAGCTTTGTTATTTTATTCTTGAAAATTTTGAGAACACCCGTGTATGCACTGTCGGCCAATGAATTTTTAGTGTAGCAACTCCCGATAAGTTCATACGAAATATCCGATGCTCTTTCATTTTGAAACCCCGTACGAGGGTTTTAGATGAATCTTGAAAATGCATCTGCGCGCATCGTAAAACTCTAGGCGAGCCGGGTACACGTGGATTATTCACCGAATCATAAACAAGTTCTGCACTCGAGTCTTTATATTGACTTGCGCAATCAATATCAAGCCCTGTCGTTTATTCCGCCTAGTTTATGACACCATTAATTATCAAACCGTCACTTACATTCCCTGGGCATTATGTCGACCCTTCCAAGCATATCAACCCCTTGGACGTTTTAACCCCCAAGCACGACCGTCCTCCCTCCCCCCGACAACCCCCTTAACAACTCACCCAAATGGTTCGGGGTTGTAACAGAAAAAAGGACCATTCACTTTTTTCTTCTCAAGATGCAACCCTGATCACCCTTAAGACTGGAGCAAGAACTCCTCTGTGCTATATAGGTTGATGGGGTTGAATTTGACTGTCGCCAAGGGGTGTTCTGTAACGAGTTTCGAATTTGGCGCCATGCGCGTGACTGGGTCCGTTTCATGGGACGAAAAGTCGATTTGACTCGCGCCTATGAGCGACAAGGGGCGTAAGGGATGGAGAAGCGTTTCCACCCTCGAGAACGTATTCGGGGTGTCTATCGATCTAGCCTAAGGGCTGACCGAACCAGAAGGGCTGTTAACCCTTATTTCCTAGCAGGTACGGGTGCACGCGTACCACCCTTGTCGACCCGTCATACACTATAGGGACAACGCGTAAATTTGCGTAAGGGTAGTTTTTCGAAATTTTGTAATCTTTTTTTTCTGCAATGAGATTTTTATTTTTTTTTCTTTGATCTTTCTTTTTTAAAAATCTTTTTCACCAGCTACCGTGCTAGGGGTTGTTTTACCTGAAAGCACTTTTTTTTCGTGTCATCCCTTGCCACGATATTTTCTCTTGTTTCCTACGGAATTACGTGCATTCGATAAGTCGGCTGTCACGGGTTTACCGTAGCGGCGAATCCGCAGCGTTTCTCACGCTTGGATTAAAGAAACCACCAAGGGGTAGTTTTAGAGTAAGTCCGCACGCGCTATTCTAGATACGTGTGTAAGTTGGTGAAAAAAATTCTTTCTAAACTCCACTGCCACTAGATATTTCGCCTTTATTTTTTTTTACAGGAGCGCTTTTCTGCCTCTCTTTTATTTTTCTTTGCTTTTTCTCTCTTCTTCATACGTTAATGCACTTTTAGTTTCTCAACGTGCCTCTTCTTGCCTGACCTCTTCTTGCGTTTTCTTTACTTCAATATTGTTTCCTTGTTCTTCGCTCTCATCTGCTTTTTTCTTTATCTTTTTTTTTTATCGTTTTTTTTTTCCAAAAGGCGATAACAGACGAAACAATCGCAACAAACTCTTATTTATTTTTTCCCCGTACCCTCCACTCGCCTGTTTTTCATTCCTCCAAAAAAATACATTATCTTGAGATTTCTTTATTTTTATTTTTATCTTTTACGAAAAAGCAGAATTTCGATAAATTCTCCATTCGTCAACCTAGCCCAATCTGAATTGTCATATTCTTCACGAAAAGCAAAATTCAAAAATCTCACTCTATTCGATAGCGTATACCCGAAGATAAAAGATATGCAAAGAAGAAAGACAAACGAAGAAAATACGTAATAACCGAGAGCGGCGGTAGAATAAAGTATAAAAATGCATAAAATTTCGAGCGGCCGCGCGATAAGCGAAAGGCCATTCTATTCGAAGAAAGACGCGCGGATCCATGTAAATGTAGATTAGCTCGTAATAGAAGCGAAGCTTCCATTGAGAAGCGTCGAGCAACGGCGGAAGATTTCGAAGACGTATCTAATCTCATGCGCCGAGTTATCCCGGACGCCGTCGTGTTGCGTTTTCTTGCCGGCGTCTGTACCATCCTCCGTCCCCTAGAATTCCACCCCTCCAGTTTCCTGGCTCCTATCCTTTATCCTGACTTCCATCCATTCGCAGCATCCACGTGGAAATTCTCTTAACGCCGGACCACCGAAGAATACTCCTTGCTGCGATATGGTCAGAGCAATATATACGTTTCCCCTTGGTCTCCCTCGGCGTCTTAGCTCCGTTACTTTTATACGTCTCTCTGGCGCTTGTTATTACCACTTCCTATTTCACGTATCCCCTTCGTTCCTTCTAATTTCATGGATTTCATACGGCTACATTCTGACTCCCTCGCGAGTCCAGGGCTCCTCGTACAATTTTTATCACGTTGAAATTATACAGTGGCCTCCTCCAATTCCCAGGGAATTTCATGCAAATTCTCTACTATGGGCTTTTTGCAATATTTTACCGGTTGAAACGACCCACCCCTATAGCCGGTATCATTGGGATTGTCCATTGCGGACGATAACGATAACTGTCCGATGCAAGCGGGAGTATATACAGGTACGTCCCTTAGGTTTTATATTTAACGGTACCTACCATACCGACCCCCCCACTTTTTCATCCCACGAAAATCGCATCGCCCAGCCAGTTAGCCATTTATGATAATTCAACCACTCCGAGCTGGGTAATCTTATTTCTCCGTAGGCGACACTAAAGACATACCTACCCCTAGCGAGGGCTATGGGTGAGAGCGAATACCACCCTTGGATAACGACACTACTTTATGGTAATCTTAGATATGCAATAATATAGTCAACAAAAGATTATACAAAAATTATCTCGAACCCTCTGCTCGATACAGGGGGTTGGTATTGTAATAGAACCATTAAGTATAGACGTACGGTCGGTAAGGTAGGTTTCTGTCTATTAGCGAGTTTCATTAATTCCGGATTTTACGCTCATTAACTCTCTGGTTCATAGCTGGCAAGGGATGGCCGGAGGCGTTGCGGGGGGGGTGGCGCTTATCGGGAATGGAAGGGATGAAAATATATATAGATATATATATATATATACCAGGGTCTACTTACTGTATATAGTTATATAGGCAACGCTTTAGTCAGATAGTAGTTAAGAATATTTGGTAGGGTTGTTGTATAGCTAGTGCTGGTATGTATATACTGTATACAGTGGCAGCAGACAGGGTTGGAGGGGGGTAGCTGGACCGAGAAGGGAGATAATTAAATATGGATCATCTGTAGCGGACTCGGTCGCCTGTATTTGCTAATTGGGGTGGAAAGAAGAGTTATTAACACGCTTTTGGACGAGGGGGGGGGGG